GCTAACTCTGAGTCTAGTAACTACATGAAGTAGATGCGCAGTGCATGGCGACGTGCCTGGATAACAGCAGATATATTAGCACTTTGCAAGCATTTTCAGTTGGCTCTAACAAAGACCTTTAATAAGTATTTTAAAAGTTGGCTCCCTTAAATGTCTTCAGAATGCAAACCCTTGTAAACTCATGTATTAAAGGTTTAAATTGGATTCTAGAAACAAATATTTAAAAAGAAAGCTCTTACTATGTCAAAAAAAAAAGACAATTAAGATTATAATTACTGGACAAGTTTTGCATCTTTCCATTAAAAGCTGAAACTTATCAATTAGAGGAAAGAATATTCATTGATTATAGTAGCTGCTTTAATTTGAAACTTGAAATTTGAACAAAATACTTATATCTTTTTTTCAGTTTTGAATGTTAGTAGGCAGCTATTTTAAACTTTATTTTAACCTAGGCTACGAATCTATGATTGAGGAATTACTACATTCTGATATTATAGTGTAATATAGTGATAGTGTAGTGATGAAAAGGTTAGGCTCTTAAAACAGACCTCCTGGATGTAATTTCTTACTCAGTACCACTTAGCTGTGTGACCTTCATCAAATTATGTAAACTCTCAATTTTCTTATTGGTAAAATGTGGATAATAATTGTACCTACCTAATAGGATTAAATGAGTTAATACAATAGGGTCTGGAATTTTAGTTATTGTTGTTCCTAATATAGTAACCGATAGTATCACTTAGGAAGATATCTCATATTTCTGCTTATTCTTAATTTATATACACTGATGATTCTATAGTTATTAAATTGTATTCATTTCAAAGCAAGACAGAATTCTTATGGATACATGAACTTTTTTCAGATGCTGAGATATGTTTCCTTAGTTATCATACTATATTTCTTTGTTCTTGAGACTATTTTTATAGTAAGTATACCAGTTGGAATTTGCATAGCACTTTGGAAAGCTTTGAATTCATTTCTATCTTTCAGATGTCCCTTAAAATGCACATGCTCTCATTATACCCTACAAGGAAGGTGAAATGGTTTATCCAGTGTCACACGGCTGTAATTAGTGGATTTATACTCCTAATCCAAATGTTTGATTCAGAATATCTGTCCTCTTTTTCTGAGTTACTGTTTTCATGGGCCTCCTAAATTAAAACTAGAAGTTCTGTCTAGATTCATCAGTGTCTTCCCCCTTGCCCATATAAAAGAGCACCAAACCCAAAGACCTCTCCCACTCTGGGTTATTTAGTCTAGGATTACTACTAACTGTCCTCATTTATTTTTTCATTTATTCTTTTAACAAGAAGTTATTGAGTTTCTGTTATGCACTGAAAATGCTTACTATAGACCCAGTTTACTCTCACTAAATGTTATTTATTTATTTATAATTAAAAAGATTTACGTTAATTTTAAATCTACTTGAAATATAGCAAGGTAATGTAAATTAGAAGTTACTGATGCACAAAACACACTCCAAAGTGAGACTCATGAAGTCCTATGTATTCTCTCAGGCCCTCCATAATATTGTTTATGTGGAAGATATGAAGTAACTGACCTTAAAGTGTACCCTCAAATAATTATCCTGAGAACAAAGAAATTGTACTACATATAATATTTATCTTTAAAAAATTAAAACAAGATATTTAAGAGATAATATCCATCTGGACAATATTTAAACAATATGGAAAGTGACTAAAAGATGATGATGATGAGATGATACTGCTAATATTAGGGTATTGCTGATAGTGGTAAAGTTTTTTGGAAATATAATTTTTCTGTTTTTCTGTCAATGATGATTTGTTCTTGGGGTACCAAAAGTTATATTTAATGTCATTAACTTATAGTATTAAAGGTTGGCGTGTGAATCTGAATTATTTTATTATGAGCATAGTACATAGTTACATTTCAGATGAGTATAGTACTCACTGATAACTTCTGCATCCTTTTTTTAGGAGTATTTCATATTTGAAGAAGTGAAATCTACTGAGTCAATTAGAACGGTGGAGTCCCAAGTACTTCCTCTTAACATTCTCAGAATATTTATATATTGGAGACTAGAAAGGGAGTTATTTATTGGTTTTAAGAACCATTAACGTATGGTTCTTAATCCTGCATTAACTATATGTTGACAAACATTATTTTAATTATTGAAGTGCAGTGCTGATGAATTCTATGCTTGTTGAAGACATTCTTCATGGATATTCAGTCAAACATCTGACAGAAGCTAGGGTGGAGTACCAAAGTGGCATTTGAGAATTTCTGGTTAAACTTAATTTGCATATAACAGTTGGTTTACAGAGAAAGAGTGATGGGTGAAGTCATATTAGTGTAAATACCATTAAGGAGGCACAGTCACTGTGATCTATGTTTGCATATCCAAAAGGACGTACATTGCAGCTGTTTTTTGATATAGTGAGTAATATAAACTCTCAACAAAGATAAAGCTCAATAGAAAATATCTTTTGTGATATATGTTCCTAAAACTGCTACTCTAACATACATCAGTAATTTATATAGCAGTAAACTTCAGACAGGAGAGATAGAGTAAAACCTAAATTGGGTATTAGATGAACTGTTCCCAGTCTCTTTCTTGTGTCATCAAGATGCTATTGTTGTCTTTCACCTCCTTCCCTTTCTAAACTTAATCTTTTCAGTTACCCTTTATTAGGAAATAGATGACATAAACTAAAAGTCATCCTTAACCAAAATAGTGTGCAAGTTGACCTTGGAGGTTCTAAGAGAAGCCTTTGTAGTCAAATACAGTGGTTCATACATTCTAGGCAATGCGCTCAAAAATAATGTGACTTTGATGTTTTAAATTGAGGGGACTCATTTTTAGTTATGATAATTGTATTATAGTTAGATCTTAGAAGATTTTCTATTTTTAGATACACATCCTAAAACATTTACAGATGAATTTATGTAATGTGTATGATGTGCTTCAAAATAATCTATGGGTGGAGGGAACAAGTGAAAATATAGATGAAACAAGATTGGGCATTAATTGTTGAAGTTGAGTGACAGATATATATAGATTTATCACACTTTCTTTCTGCTTTTTTATATGTTTAAAATTTTCTGTAATTTTTTTTTAGTGTATGAACGAATGCAGTGTGAACTTAGGACCCAGAATATTGCTTTCCATTTTTCGTACATTAAAGACGCAAAGAACATCAGCTCTTTCATTTCTTGCTCTTATATATAAACATATATTTTTATAATTTTCTTATGCAGATCTGTAAGAAAATTTCACTAGAAGCACACAGTATGGATCCCTTTTAACTTTTATAATAAGGAGATTTTACCTGTATGACAACACATATTGAATGTGCACTTAAATGTAATGTTCCTGTTATCGAAAAATAGAAAGGTTTAGCTTTGATTAAATATTTACTCCTGTGTTAGAAAATATCAATCTAAGATAGAAGAATTAAGTCTCAGTTTTATCATCTGTAAAATGATAGAGAAAATAATATTTAAGTTGCCTCGAAGCCCAACAGATCTTAGCATGTGTGGCAATAAACATCAGAGGATTTTGTATTAGCATGTCTGTACTTTTTTTGCCAATTTAGTTCAACTATTTACCATTCCTAGTTTCTCTGCCAAATTATGTAACAGTAAATAAAAAAAAGGAATGTTACAATTTCTTTTCATTGCCCAACCTAAAGAGTGTTTGTTTGTTTGTTTTTGACAATTTCCGTGGCAATGTAGATGTTCAATTTGTTAATCTGAGTGACACTTGGGAAAGAATAAACTACCTACTACAGGATCTGCTGCAGAATGGTTGCTCAGAAATTTTCCCATGAGAGGAGAGAGAGTTATTCCACCACTGATCAGAGTAGAGTATCCCTCTAAGGCAGGTAGACTACCAGTTTCCCAGCAGACCAAGTGGATGGGGCAGTCTTGAGTTAAGTACTGAATGGTTTCTTTAAAGATGTTAGCTTTCCTTGCATCCTTTGTCTCATATCTTAAAAGTTGCTAATTCATCCCGTTACTGCCTTAAAATAATTTTATGAATTTTACTATTTTTAAAATGACACACTACTAAAGTCAGAGTATAATATAGAAACAAAAATATGGTGGTGAATATCGTATACCATCTAACTCTGAAAGGCAGCATTATCTGCAGGGCTAGGGTGAGAACACAGTCTTGTCCTAGTCTCCTTGCCCACTGTGAATTTTTAGAGCAGTTAGTTTTGACAAATTGATTTGAGTGGGAGACTTTGAATAAAAGCTTTAATAATTACTGATAATGAATTTCTGGCCTAAAAGTATTTGCACATCTTTTTGCAGTATTTTGCAGTTTGAAAGCAAGATAGAATATTCCACATGAGATGTGTCAGGATGTGTCAGCTCTCAGGACAGATGATGGTTTTCAGCTCTCAGGACAGATGATGGTTTCTGAATATAGATTTACTTTATTTTTTTCCTCACTAATTACTTATAAATCAAGGTTTTAAAAGACCTTGCCAATTAAAATGGCAATATTTAGCTATAGTAATATGCACAGGAACTTTTCCAGAATGGATTTTGAAATGGATTGTTCTAATTAATCCAGTTCCTTTATTTATAATGAATTTTTGTCAAAAATCTCCTTTTAAAAAAATGTTTCATTAGCACTGGTGCCTTTTGATAAAGAGGAATATAGTTCAATTTCCAGTTTTCTGCAGGACTGTAAAGTTTTGATAATGTTAAAATTATAACTGAGCATCCAGGAAAATAAAGTTAGTCTCCTTTTCTTTGGCAAATCAAACTTTTTTAAAGAAAGTTTTCTTCAAAAATTTGAAATTTGAAATACTAGACGTTTATCATATATTTTGTTGGCTCCCTTCACTACTCTACTACCTCTTCAAGACAGATCTTCCCCCACCCTCTCTGTCCAACCTAAAACTTCATTTTTTCAGCTTCTTTTTATAGTCTTAGAACATTGGCTTCTCTTGGTACTGTTTTGTTTGAATGAAGACCGATCAGCACATTTTTTTGTGTTTGTTCAGGAGTCAGACGGCCAGGGCTGCCCCTTCTGTCGCTGTGAAATAAAAGGAACAGAGCCCATAATCGTAGACCCCTTTGACCCAAGAGACGAAGGCTCCAGGTGCTGTAGCATCATTGACCCCTTTGGAATGCCAATGCTGGACTTGGATGACGACGACGACCGAGAGGAGTCCTTGATGATGAATCGGTTGGCAAATGTTCGAAAGGTAAAACCAGAAAACGTAGGTTTAATTAGGGTGGTTTGTGGGCATGAAAAAGAAATGATGCTGTCACAAATGAGATATGAGTGTATTTGGGTTTGGAAAGAAAGATTCAGGCATCAAAAGAAAGGTGACGATATAACTAATGTTGACAGGATGATGAAATCATAGACTGAGAAAGAACTAGGCTCTACTTAAAGTATTCTCACTTGTTTTAAACTTCAAAATGAGAGATGGTGAGAGTTTTTGTGTAGAACTAAACATCATCTAAGAATGGCAGTAGCAGATCTGTGAAGAAAAATTTAAGAAAAAATTATTAAAATTGGAAATCTGAGACTAGAAATAGTCTTTGTTGAAGTCTAAAAGAAGCATCTGATAGTTATTTTCTTACCAGGAAAGTCAGACTTCTATCTGGTTACTAAGAGGTCCCAGAAGATTTACTTTTGTGAATTTACCATAGTTTGGGGTTTGCTTATCAATATTCCCGACTCAGAAAATTGACTTTGTCAGTTCACTGAGAATGGATGCTACTGCCCAATTGGAGTTTATGTAACCACCAAGCTCACAATGGAGCAGTCAATGGACCAGAATGCCAGTTGAGTAATTTATACACTGGAAATACAGTGATCAAGAGAACCAAACTCTCAGATATCAGGCTATTCCCTGTACAGAAAGATACATGAAACTCAGAAGTTTTGTGCTCTCAATATCAGAGATATGGTAACGAGTGGTATGAAAGCGTCTGCAAACAGTGTGAAGCTACCCTCCCACCCCCACCCCCCTGACTCATAGCAGACATGGCTAATCTATCATGACACTAATGCATGCTGAATTCAGACTTGGCCTACACAGACCTATAGAACCGCTGCAATTCTTTACAATTTGGCAGGTAACATGAAACCTGTTCGCATCTAGGTGAAGTGATGATAACGAGTAATGGCATCAGATTATATTTGCCATATGCATCTGTCTGGTAGGGAAACACTTGGTGCAGAGAACATATGAGGCATATCTTTAGCCCCTTTAGGGCTATACCAAAGTTTATCTCTCAGCCTCCTGGAGTTTTTATGTTCCAATGTTCCATGCTCACCAAAGACATACCCTTAGGATTTTTTACATACAAATTTTTATATACTTAAATGGTTAAAATCACCAGCATGACTACTCTCAAATTTTGCTTTGGTCTGGGATGATTTTTGTTCTTTACTTCATTGGTTTTTCATAAATGTTACAATTTAACTTGGAGAAATTACTCTTGATTCCACTCTTTAATCCTAACAACAACATTTAACTTTTAGTTTTGAAATGTGTGATCTCATTGACCGAAGAGATATAAGAAAGGAAGTAATTATTAGTCAGTAACCCTAAAGGGAGACCAAGAAAAGAAATCTCAAATTGAAACAAGAAATTGAGACTTAATTTTAAGATTAATTCTTTATCAATAAACCCATATTATCTTTTATGTGAACAAAACTTTTTCATATTTTATTTTCTCAACAACTTGAAAAGGTAAATATTATTCTTCTCATTTTTCAGATAAGGAGATGAGGCTCAGGTTAGTCATGCAGCTTGGCTGCATTAGTAGTTTGTAGAGCCAGGATTCAAAGTTATGTCTTCTGGATAACAATACAGCGATATCTCCAATACCCCATATGTAGCTGTCTCACATGCAGAGTGATGAAATGGTTTCTACTAAGTCAGATTATGGTGTGTATCCTAGAATTTTTATCATATACTATCATTCATTTTACCTAATATTGATAATAAAACTGTAAGATGTATGATTTCGTTGTTCTGGCCCTATTCTAGTTTCTTAATTCCTTGATTTCACCAACTCGGTGGAGAAGCTAATGTTATTGTCCTTTTTTACGTAGGAGAAAACTCAGGAAAAAAGGTGAAATAGCTTGCCTGAGATCCTAGTACTACCCTATAGCAGAAGTGGCACTTTATTCCAAGGCTTCCAAACTTCAAAACTCTAGCTGCGAGCCATCATGCAATGTGCCTCTTTTGCCATCTTTGGAACATGTCACTCACAATGTACTTAAAAGAGAGGCAGCTTGTCTACGGCCATGCCACCCTGAACAAGCCCAATCCCGTCTTCTGATCTCGGAAGCTAAGCAGGGTCGGGCCTGGTTAGTACTTGGAAGGGAGACCACCTAGGAAGACCGGGTGCTGTAGGCATTTAAAAAAAAAAAAGCTTAACTACCTATCCTCTGAAAGTCTTTTCAGTTCTGTAATATAACGTACAAGCATATTTCAGAGATATTGTAGGTTTGCTTCCAGACCATCGCAATAAAGTGAACATCACAATAAAGTGAGTTGCACAAGTTGTTTTGGTTTCCCATTGCATATAAAAGTTATGCTTACACTATACTATCGCACTAAGTGTGCGATAGCATTATATCTTAAAAAAAATATGTATATGCTTACACTATACTATCGCACTAAGTGTGCGATAGCATTATATCTTAAAAAAATGTGTATATGCTTACACTGTACTATCGCACTAAGTGTGCGATAGCATTATATCTTAAAAAAAATGTGTATATCTTAATTTAAAAAAATACTTCATTGCTAAGAAATGCTGACCATCATTTGAGCCTTCAGGGAGTCATAATCTTTTTGCTGGTGGAGGGTCTTGCCTCAGTGTTAATGTCTGCTGATTGATCAGAGTGGTGGTTGCTGAAGGTTGGGGTGGCTGTGGCAGTTTCTTAAAATAAGACAACAGTGAAGTTGGCCATATCGATCAATTCTTTCATGAATGATTTATCTGAGTTATCTGTAGCATGTGATGCTGTTTGATAGCATTGTACCCACAGCAGAGCTTCATTCAGAATTGGAGTCAGTCTTCTCAAACCCTGTTGCTGCTTTATCAACTAATTTATGAAGTATTCTAAATCCTTTGTTGTCATTTCAAGAATGTTTACAACACCTTCACCAGGAGCAGTTTCTATCTCAAGAAACAACTTTCTTTGCTCATCCATAAAAAGCATTGGTTCACATTTTATTTTGAGACTGCAGTGATTCATTCACCTCTTCAAGCTCCACTTCTAATTCTCATTCTCTTGCTTTTTCCACTAAATCTGCAATTACTTCCTCCACTGAAGTCTTGAACCTCTCAAAGTCATTCATGAGGGTTGGAATCAACTTCTTCCAGACTTCAGTTAATGTTGATATTTTGACTTCTTCCCATGAATCACAAGTGTTCTTAATGGCATCTAGAATGGTGAATCCTATCTAGAAGGTTTTCAATTTACTTTGCCAAGACCCATCAGAGAAATCACTATGGCAGCTGTGGCCTTACAAAATGTATTTCTTAATAAGACTTGAAAGTCAAAATTACTCTATGGTCCATGGATTACAGAATGGATGTTGTATTAGCAGGCATGAAAACAACATTATCATCTCCTTATACATCTCCATTGGAGCTCTTGGGTGACTTACATTTTGCATTGTCAAAAAGTAGTAATATTTTAAATCATTTTTTTGAACAGTAGGTTTCAGCAGTGGACTTAAAATATTCAATAAACTATGTTGTCATCTAGGCTTTGTTTTTACATTTATAGAGCATAGATAGAGTAGATTTAGCATAATTCTTAAGGATCCTAGGATTTTCAGAATAGGAAATGAACATTGGATTCTACTTACAGTCACCAGCTGCATTAGCTCCTAACAAGAGAGTCAGCCTGTCTTTTGAAGTTTGGAAGCCAGGCATTGACTTCTCCTCTCTGGTTATGAAGGTCCTGGATAGCATCTTCTTCCAATATAAGGGTACTTTGTCTACACTGAAAATCTGTTGTTTAGTGTAACCATTTTTATTAACTATCTTGGCTAAATCTAATGCATAACTTGCTGCAGCTTCTATATCACTTGCTGCTTTACCTTGCACTTTCATGTTATGGAGATGGCTTCTTTCCTTAAACCTCATAAACCAAGCTCAAAAAGGTTTAGAGCTTCAGACTTTTCTTTTACAGCTTCTTCACCTCGTTTAGCTTTCATGGAATTGAAGAGAGTTAGGGCCTTTCTCTGGATTGGGCTTTGGCCTAAGGGAATGTTGTGACTGGTTTGATCTTCTATCCAGACCCCCTAAAACTTTCTCCATATCAACCGTAGTCTGTTTCTCTTATCATTAGAGTGTTCACTGAAATAGCACTTTTGATTTCCTTCAGGACTTTTCCTTTGCATTCACAACTTGGCTTATTGTTTCCTGCAAGAAGCCTAGTTTTTGGCCTACCTCATCTTTCAATTTGCTTTCCTCACTGAACTTAATCATTTCTAGCTTTTGGTTTACAATGAGAGATGTATGGAAAAAAAAAAAGTGAGAGATGTGTGACTCTTCCTTTCACTTGAATGCTTAGAGGCCATTGTAGGGTTATTGATTGGCCAAATTATAATATCGTGTCTCAGGGAATAGGAAGGCCCAAGGAAAGGGAGAGAGATGGGGGAATGGCTGACTGGTGGAGCAGTCAAAACACACATTTATCAATTAAGTTTGCCATCTTATATGAGCATGGTTTGTGGTGCCTCCAAATAATTACAATAGTAACATCAAAGATCATAGATCACCATAACAAATATAATAATAATAATAATAAAATTTGAAATGTTACAAGAATTACCAAAATGTGACATGGAGACATGAAGTAAGCAAATGCTGTTGGAAAAATGGTACCAATATGGCTGCTCCACCCAGAGTTATCACAAACCTTTAATTCATAAATGCAGTATCTGCGAAGCTCAATAAAATGAGGTCTACTTGTACCTCATGAGTAATCACTAACATCCAATGAAATTTTAACCAGAAGTTAAAAATAATTAAAACTATAATCTGTTTGTATTAACATAAAAATATTTATGCTCTACACCTACCTAATGAGTCACCAAAAAACCAAGCAACTCCAATTAGGCCCTGCTATTTGTCATATAAATGAGTATTAAATCTATTTTCTGATATAAATTCTCAGTAGCCACTTATGCTGTGGCTACCATATTGAACCATATAGATA